CCTGAGTTGCTGATCATCGATGACAATGAAACTGGTGGTGTTTATTGAATAGTAACGGTAATGTCTCCATCTATAATGGTTATGTTTGCCATTTTGGGGTGATGTATTCAACATGGTTGCAAATTTAAATTAAAATTAAAATTATTCTTTTATAACACATAATGTACCATCGAATATTTTTTTTTTTTTAAAATAGCACGTGCATTGCACTGGTCAACGGCTAGTAAGTATACTATTTATATGCATACATTAAATTCATAAATATTTTTCCATCTTTTACATTACAAATACATTTAAATTTTATAATATGAAAATAGGAAGAAATTATTTTCTATATTCTATATATAGGAAAAGAAGTATGAACAAGAAGTCCAAATACCTATTTCACAAAAATCAATTTATATGAAAATTGCAAGTTTTGGGTTTTAGATTCTTTTATTAAAAAGAAAAAAGAAAAGACAAAAAGATTAATAGATATAAATCCGCAATATTTTTATTTTATCGTGAACACAAACTTTTTTGTACTGACATTGTGTTTCATGTGTGTGTAAGAGATGGACATGTGTCTCACAAGTAAGGTTGCAAATAAGCCAAGCCAAGCCAAGTCGACCATTGCCATGTTCAAGCTCAACTTGATCGACTTTGAAGTGTTTGAGCTCAAATTGAACCTAAACAACTAAGCTTAAGCTCAACTCGTTGTCTTAAAATTAAACTCGAGCTCATCTTCACAATGAACAACTTGATTAAATGGTTGTAGTGGACTCATTTCCTTTGTTTTCGCCACTTATATAAGCTCTTTGTATATATTGCAATACATTGAGAAGGCAATGTAGGACGGGAAAGCTTTGTAAGCATGACATTTCCTTTCAATTTTGGTTGGCTCAAGTGGAGAAGTGAGCATGACATTTCCTTTCAATTTTGTTAGTATTCGTTGATTAGATATGTCACACTCACTTCTCCACTTGAGCCAACCTACTTTGATTCATGAATTACATCATCTCCAATCCCATCATCGTTATTAATAATTGCATCTAAATATATAAAAAAATGTTCATTATTTGTTATCTCCTCGCTGTCAATGTTCATTTCTCCATTATTTTCACTTCTACTATTGTTAAAATTACATTTCATATATTCAGTTTTATTTCTACCAACCTTAAACCCTTTTGACTTAAGTTTCTCTCCAGATTTCTAATGTAGTGATAATTCCTTTCTTAGTAGAATGATATCATCAATGAATAAAATACACCATATGATATCATTTTGAATGTGTTTAGTTAATTCATTCATGACTAGGGCAGCTAGGTAAGGACTTAAAGCTTACCTTTGATGCAACCCTACAGTGATTGAAAATTCACTAGTTTGTCCTGCAGGTGATCTAATTATAGTCACAACTTCATATAGAATGTGTCAACTATCCTATAGGCCAAACACTCTGTTGAGCAATGCATTAAATATATGTTGAACTAGAGAGGAACTGATTAAATAATTTGATATAATTGAGTTCACCTAATCGAGTCGAACTCATATTAGATCAAGCTTGAGTCATCTGATAATTGAGCTTCAATTTAACTTATGAAGCATGGGTACATGTATGAGTATTGATACTGCTACGATACGAGTACATCGATACGGTAAAATCTAAAAAAAAATAGGATACAAATATGGCTAGGTACATTTATAAAACAACATTTATTTTTAATGTGGAGTAATAATGCAAAGATTAGTTAAATGGTTTAATTTGTTAAAACGCAACTTACAATTCACATTTAATGTCAAAAGTAAAGGTACAAACCAAAATTAAATATCATTATATTAAATAACTCGTAAACCATAACTTAATTTTAGAATCATGCTAAGCATAAGTCCAATGAAATTAATTTTACCTTTGTATTAGAAGAAAATATTGTTTCGATTGATGTACGGTACGACTTGGGTATATATTAGGTCTATGAAGCATGGACACTCCAAAATTGTGCCGTGGCAGTGTCCGACACGCGGACACGCTGGGGACACGTACGGGACACGCCAGATGGCGTGTCCCTTTAATTTAAAGTTTTTTTTGGAAGGGGACACGGCGGGGACATGCGTGTCCACATCTGGACACGCTAGGGGACACGGCGGGGCTCTTTTCTAAATTTGTTATATGTATTTGGGGTCAAAGTGTAATATTTAAAAAGTAAAAACTGAGGGAGTCGAAATAGAGTGAGCCTGCGAAGACCTTCTGAGTCGAAGCCCTCTCTCAGTCAATCGAAGCTCTCTCTCTCAGTCGAAGCCCGAAGTCGATCGAAGCTCTCTCTCAGTTGAAATCCTACGAAGTAGATCGAAGCCCTCCAAAGTCGATCGAAGACCTCCGACCGAGTCGTCTCAGCCTCAGTTTCTGTCGATCCAGTCGTCATCGACCTCCGATCTAGCCGACTTCGAAGGTAAGCCCTCTCTCTCTCTCTCTGTGGTTTGTTTTCGACTGAGGGAGTCGAAATAACACTGATTTTTATTTTTTTATTTTTTTTATACGTTTATATATATATATATATATGTAAGAGTTATTTTAATTTTTATTTATTTATAGGTTTATATATAAGTTATTTTGATTTTTATTTCTTTATCCCTTTATATATAAATTTATATATATGTATATACATATAAGATTTTTAATTTTTATATATATATGTAAGATTTTTAATTTTTTTTTTGTAATTATATTTTTATATATCTAAAATTGTAGTTTTTTAAAAAAAATTTAATTATAGATTTATATATATATACAGTATGTAAACTTTTTTTTTTTTTTTTTAATCCTTCTCATGTTAATGTTTAATTAATTAATAGGAAAAATGTCTAGTTCATTTATTGTTGGATGTTGGATGTTGAATTTTTGCCTCTTATATTTATTAAATTAATGTTACTATATTAGTGTTTGTTAATTTTGATTTAGAATGAATGTAATATGAATCTACATAACACATAAAAATATATAAAAATAAAAAAATAAAAATTCGCCGTGTCCCCCGCCGTGTCTGTGTCCCTATTTTTGGAAATTGCCGTGTCCCGTATCAGTGTCCGTGTCCGTGCTTCATAGTATTAGGCGTACATCTGGGAATACTAAAAATTAAGAAGGAAAAATTTGGGTACGTGTTTCATGTACCTAATACGTATGCAAAAGTACCATACAAAGTAGCAGTACCCGGTAAATACTCTGTACGGGTACGGCATGTTTGTCGAAGTACCCATGCTTCATATTAAGGCTTGAGCTGGACTCATTTAACATTCGAAAGAGTTTGAACGATCTGCAATCGAGTCCAGATTTGAGTTGTTCATAAATAGCTTAGTTCGTTTACAACCCTACCAAGTGCATCTAATTAAAAAAAATATACAAAAAAATAATACAACGTGTTTGGATGTGTCTAACATGTGTCAGTGACTGTCCAACAAGCATTGGTGTCTACCACATACAAAACACCTTTTTAGAAGTGTTACACTTCTTAGTTTATGAATGGTCTTGGGTCCAACTCTTGTTGATAAGGGAGAGCAACCCAAAAGAAAGTACAAAAAGATAAAGGAAGATTAAAAGAAAAGGTAGAAAACCAAATTGAATATGGATTAAGAAGCTTGAAATGACTATACATTCTCTATAACAATGCGTGCCATAAAAAATATACAACCATTTAAAGCTTTGTTAACAAATGCATTTAAGACACTCGTTAACAAGACCCATTAAATATTGGTTAAGGAATTTGTACCCGGTCCATAATGAGATGGCCTAATCATTAACATTAAAATCACTAGCATGACGACCAATCCTAAGCAAGTCAACCAATAAGCTTTGTTTTTGTTCTTTGTTCCTGTTTCCTCTTTGGTCAACACTTACAATTAAGAGTTTCACTCTTGATCCTACCCTCTCCTAATGATGCAATATTGGATCAAGGCCAACCTATGCCATTACAAAGTGGCAACTTCTCATTCAAATACACATATATCAATGCACGTGTATGTGTATAAACTCTAAAAAGAGACTTTTGTTTCCATCAAAAAAAAGAAGAGGGAAAATGAAAGAAAACTGCGAAACCCACAAGCAAATGGACAAAAATATTTAGGAGGCTCAGAAATAGTTTTGAGATAACTCAATTAAAGGTGTTACTTTTGAAACCTGGCTCTCTTAGAACTTTCTTCCACTGTTTTCATAGAACATATGTAAAATTCCAGAGACCAAAGATTCATGGACAGAAAAAGAGGGTTGGTCCAGGGCATAGTGAGAATTTTGATGGCTATATGGCATGGTAACAACAAAGCAACAAACTTGGCATGTCGATGAGTTGTGAGAGAGAAGTGCAACATCTTTCACTAAGCATAAAAACATACAGTTTCTGCTCTACACTCTCTAATCTTCCTATAGCTGTTTCTTTCATGGAATCTGCCCATGAATGTCACCCATCTAAAGGTAAATTGTTTTACTTCTCGTTTCTCTTTTCATTTTCCTCTTCTTCTACATTTTTTTTTTTATTTGACTAAAATGGACATATGTGCCATAGATTTTTGGTTTGTTCAGTCCCCCCTATTTCCTTAATCCATATTGAAATAAATAAATAGCAACAACAATTTCATCTTTCGGAATTTACCAAATCAATAAACTAGTTAGGTCAAGTCATCATTCCCTGCATGAGACATCAAGCTTAAATGGGCAAGGCTTTAACAACAAGATCCATTTCCAATGAAAGATAGCAATTGTTCCTATCCCTTTGAATGATGTGATGCAATTTGCAAATTACTTCATCGAGACAACTCCAATATCATAAAAATCAAAAGGATCACTCTCCTCAAGCAGCACCACTGCCACCTTCCTTTCCAACACTCATTTTTCATGTGTGAAAATCCATAGGGAAAACTAACAACTGAGCTTGACCTAAAATCAAACACCTAAATTGCACAAACCTACACAAGCACATTAATTCAAAATAAAAGCATTTTGTTATAAATAGAAGTGAATAAAGAGAAGAACAAACCATGTAATTGGTTAGCGCAGACTTTCCAGCATTGGGTGCGCCAATAATTCCCACAGACAATGACTTCTGGTCTTCTTCCTTCACCACCACATCCTCTTCCTCCTCCTCCTCCTCATCCGGCCGCTCCAATGCAGCTTCAAGCAAAGCCTTTGCAAGCGCAGCAGCCCGGCGCCTCTTTTCGTCTTCCTTGACCAAAATTCTCGAATTCTGTATCTGGGTTTCTTCTCCAAAGATAGCCCGATTGGCTTTAGCTCTGTAGTTCTCATCCCAAGTCGGCTTTGGAGCTATTTCAGGCCCAGAATCCAAACCGATGTTGGGTAATGTGTATTCGCTACTGTCAAAGACAGAGTCGCCATTCTCGTCATCTTCAGAGGCGGTGGGGGTGGGGTTGTGTTGCTGAGGTTGGGATGCGTAGAAGCGGCAGAGAACGGTTGAATTGAGATGGATTTTGGTGGGTATTGAAGAAGAAAGGATTGTGAATGTTCTAAGAGCTCTCAAAGCTTTCATTTCAAAGCAATGAAAAGTGTATTTTTAGTCAATCAATGAAATAGATAGATAGGCCTCATCAACTGCAATCATGCCTCTATTGTAAAGAGTGTTGTATTGTCTCAATTGGGTTGTGGTGTTCTTGGTGAGAAGCGAATGGGAGTGTACGTATGAGAGAGAGAGAGAGAGTTCAGGTTTTGCTTCAAAATAGCAGACAGATTGGAGGTTTGGGAAGAAATTGTACCGAGGGTTTAGCGTCCAGCGGATTGGATACGTTGGTCATTTTGAAATTCTGTGTTCTAGGGTTTTAGCCCTTTTTTTTGTTTTTTATTTTTTTGTTTTTAGTCACCAAAGGTAGGCAAAAATGCTATGAACCCATTTACAAATCCCAAATTTAGCCTGAATGAGAGTTACGTGGTTAAAATTGAATTTGTATGGCGTGAAATTTATGTATAGAGTAAATTTAAATTATTAAAAGATAATTATAGATAATTTCTGAATAATTTAGTTTAGATTTGTGATATATTAAATTAGCTTTGTTGATCTAAACCATTGATGTCATATAAGTTAAGAGTAATTCTATTTTCAGACATTAATTTTTTTTAGTTCATACATTAATGAAATTTTTTCTTAATATAATTTTGTTCTAAAATAAAAATGTCATTTATCCTTATCTTTTTGCGCGAAAATCCTAATTCTAAAATGCCACAATCATTCCCTATTGTCAATGCCACCTCTCTCTCCTCTTTCATCTCCTCCAATTGGTTTTTTCTCCTTCTGCCTATAATCACCTTCGTTATGAACCTGTTGGCTTTTTAGCTTTCGAATGTTATTTTTGTAATTATGAGCGTGCCAGCAATGATCAATCAGTCCTTACAGAATTTTGATTGCCAACCAATTATCAGACGATTGTGTTGTAGTTCTTTCAGCTTCAATGAAGAAGACTTTTACTGGTAGCTTGATTTAGGAGAATTTAAGGACAAGAACAGTTAAATAAAGAGCAATTGAAGCATTTCATTAGTATGAAAAACTTACAATGATCCAAACTCAGCCTCGTAGAGGTTTACAGCGACAATCTACTTGAAACTACTCCTATGAATGAAGTGCAGTGCAGGAATTTAAAGTACAGGAATGTAAAGAACATGAAATATAAAAATTGGAACGAAATATGTAAAGTAAGACTGGTTTCTTTTATCTGAGTCTGGGGCTTTTTTCTGGGGTCTTCCCTGCTATTTATACTCCTCAAAGATGACCATCGAACTGCACTTCAAACTGTCGAACTGCTCCTTCGTGATCACTGATCATGCTGCCTTATAAGTAGTTCCACTACGTCATCACTTGCAGTTAAGCTTCCCTCCTATATTTGAATTTGAATGTGAGTAACTGTTGAAGCCACGTTACCTTGCATCTCTTTGCTGATCCAATGTTACTCGGACCACGCAATAGACAATATCAACTGTCACGTGTACGATCAGGATCGAAGACTTGAACAGTCTTCCTATATTACCCTTACTCTGCCACGCGTCGAACTGTAACTGGTCTTTTACAAAATATGTAGCCAACATTACCCCCCGCACTAATATACCAAATACTTGGTGATATTAGTGGATCAAAGCCTTTCTCCCGCGTTTCTTAGAACGTGCATGGGGTCTAGATTCTGGAAACACAACCGTCACTTATTGATGATCATTTGCATTAATTCTCTTTCAATCTTTTGAACACCCCAATACCTTAGCACTCGTACAGGCTGATACCTCTTCTATGGCCGAATCAACTTTATTCTCTATTGATCAGGCACATGAAGAGTCATTGAATAATGCTGCTTCCCCTCTAAAGAACCTCTACGCATTCATTAGCCACCTTTATCCACCCTTCTATATTCAAGTTATGGAAGTTTTTGCAAATTACCAACCTTTGGATTACGAACATATTGCCCTTAATCCTTCGATTCGGAAAGTTGCAGATATAGACACAAGAAGTTCTTCCTCTAACTCACCCTTACAGTTCAAACAAACTACTCTCAAACCTTTGATTCGGAAAGTTGCAAATATGGACTTGGGAAATTCTTCTTCACAAGCCTCTGTATGGGATAAAGCTGCAACTTCTTCCTTTTTTGGGGGTTCTGACTGGACAAGCTGGTCAACACCTGAGACTTGTGATTTGAGGGAGCGAATTAACCATCATTTTGTTGAGTTCACTGACCCTTTAGAGGTTCCTTCTTATGCTCGAAGTTCAATGGTCTACCCCTACGTGCCCATTGACCACCGACGCAGTCTGGAGGAGAATCTGCTTGTAGCATGGTACGTATCCTCCATGCCTACAAAGATAGTGCACGCTGCCCGACGCCTAGAAGAAGCACAAGGTTGTATCATTCTTAGCCCAGAAGGCGAAGATTTGTTCTTCTGACTGGCTCGATTATATTAATGCCTTTGTTCCTTCTGCTCCCGCGCCATCTCCCATAATAGAAGCATCCATACCTTCTTCTCCATCTCCTAAAATTGAAGCATTCACACCTTCTCCTCTACCAACTCTTTGCTGGACAGAGAAACTGAAGTTTGCCCTTTTCATGGATAACGTCTTTCCACCTTACAAACCTCTACCTTCCCCTACTCCAGCTGAGCGAAAACAAGCTCAACTTCTGCTTGCAGCTTTCTCTCACTTGCCCTTCAATGTTCTTGAGGACGAAATCCCTCTCAAGAACCTTCGATGGGCTTGTGATATTCTGACTAGGGGCCATGTCCTTAATCCCCTTGCCCAAGCAGAACTTCATATGTTCCTGGACCAACTTCTATTACTCCTCTACTGGCATCGAAATTCGATGGCCATTACACAATCTTTAGACCAACTTTCGTCTCTTCGAGTTCATGCCCAGTACGAAGCAAAGAACTTCATTGAAGAATTCGGTGATTTCAAGAATAAAGATTCTGCGTATTGGGATGACTTGGACATAGGCGAATTGGAACAAGGATTGAGAGAGGATAGAATAAAGAAAGAACAAAAATTCATTGATCATTGTTGGACTAAATTTCATGATCTTGTTATTTATTCCATTCCTTATTTTTATGAGCTTGAGTTTATACCCAGATAGGGTCATCCGATGTAATTGCTTTGGCTTTAATATAAACAAAATTCTTCTTCATTTGGCATTGTTTGACCCTACTTCCATTTGTCTTTAAAAGCCAATTCAGAGCTTCGAACTGAACAATCTCATCCTTCGAACCTGGACTCAATTGTTTTAAATGAAACACTAAAAGAACCAATTATGAACTTTTTCAATTTATGGAATAAAGTTGACAGTTTTGGCTGATTTTCAATTAGAACCAGTGCTTCAGATCTAGCAATCTTATACTTAAAGTTTGTTTCAACCATAACCAACACCTAATCATGGTTATTATGATCAATTAGTTTTAAATTGACCACCAACAGTTCATGCTGTTTTAGTTCAACAGACAACCCCCATTTTTTTCTTTTTTTCTTTTTTTTTTATATAAACCAACTATTGGTTTTGATGTTTCGAACACCAAATCCCATCCTTAAAAAATCTCAAGTTTTACCTCGAAGGACAATACCTTCGTTAAGAAACCTAAAAACAGGTCTTTAAACTCTTTGGAGTATAACAAACACTCGAGTATTCTTATATTTTTAGGTATGGAAATGTGTTTCGAAGCCGGCTTCTTTATTTCAAAGCCGTTGTTTTTTGGCTTTTGGCGCTAAAACTAGGCTTCGAAGCCAAATATCTTACTTCAAAGCTAGCCTCAGCATCTGGGCTGTGTTTTCCCTCCAAAAGTATCAATATTAAAGGAAGCTCTTCGTATTCGTACTTCTAGTACTTAACGACTTACGCAATATATTTTCCAGACCCAAAAGCTTTAAAAACCCTTTTGTTTCGTGCTCTGAAATCACTTGCTCTTTTAACGCACAAGCCCTTCTTTCTACCGATCTTCTGCTTCTCTCTACTTCCTTTCTCAGCTTCACTTTCTGGAAAAGCGTACTATCAATGGCTTCTTCTTCAGTGCCAGTCGTAGAGCGTGCGAGCCCATCTGTAACCCTGAAGAGGATCATTGATACAGAATGTGAGAAGTACAAAGTTGAGGAGAAAAGCGCTATCGATGGACGCATCTTCGTCCCTCGTCGCCATGTGCAGCAAGACTACGTATTTGGGCCCATATTCGAAGAGATCCTTACTGAACTCCCAGCCCTATATCCTCGTCTGGAAAACCAATGTCTCCTTTATGAAGGTGGTCTTGACTAGAGGAACTGGAGGATAAATCGCCCCCACCGATGTTGGCCTACGGTGAGACCGGAGTGGCAAGAATGGTATGACCGGGTTGTTCCTGCTAGAACTCTGGACCTTCAAGAACTCTGCCTTCTCGATGCTCTCCGACTATCCAGGGTAACTATCTCAGAGGACCATTTCCTTATTTCTGCTGCCTTGTGTTTTTGGAATCCTATCTTTAATTTCTTTCAATTTAGATACAGGATGATGGCCCCTACTGTTCTTGACATTTGCCATCTACTAGGATTATCCCCCATTGGTACCCCATTTGGACCAGATTACCCTGACTCAGCAGTCCCTTTCTCTCTCCCCTCTCTTAACTCATCCTATAGTGATTTCGCTAAGGCTAAGAATAAGAGAGAGGGCCCTGTGACTGATAGGGAATTCTTTTCTTTCTTATTGTATTGGCTTTGCAAATTCCTCTTCTGCACCTCCTCTCAGAGAATCATGCCTGAATTTGCCCCTCTTGCCAAAGCCTTTGGTTTACAAAAAAAGGTGGCCTTAGCCCCACATGTTCTAGGTCACGTATATAGAGTCTGCTCCCTTTTCTGTGAGAAACCCTTAGATGCTAATCAAGGGGGGCCATTCTGGATCCTTCAGTTTTGGCTTTTTGCCTATTTCATTGAGTTACAATCCAAATGCCTTAAATTTTTTGCGCCAAACCCTCTTACTCACGTCATAAGGCTGGCCAATGCTTCAATTTATCCATCTACCTTTGCTTTTTACTTCTCTTTCTTCCACCAACTTCCAGCTTCCCTTCCTTCTTACCGTTTTCGCCCCTTTGAACCCAACATTGGTCCATCTTGGTTGAAGAATTTTCTAAGTGACAGGTCCTGTGCTTCACCCATTCACAAAGAGATATGGGCCTCCATTCTGATCCCCAGAGAGTTATTTATTGGGACTTTGAACCCCAAGGCCTACAAATGCATCGCTGAGCCTTACTGTCCTGCTCAATTTGCTAGACAATTTGGCATCACACAAGGGGTCCCAATACCTCTCTGCAGTAACACAAACCTCAGT